ATAATTATAGTTTAGCAAGTAATAATTATCATTAGGTAAAATGCATATATAAAATATCAGTAGTTTCAGTTAAAGCTTTTTAGATGGTTGCTAGCCTAAGGTAATGGGAGCGCGTCTTCTAGACATACTATTCAATAAGACAAGAGTTACGTCTACATAGTTTAATTGATTTGAAGCTTTTAGATAAATGCTAGCCAAAGGTATCAAGATCCCATCTCCCAGACAAAGGATATTTATTTAAGTATATCTGTCATCACCTACCGGGGTATATTAGAATAACATTACTTCAATTAAGACTCATTAAGGATTAGCCCCCATACAAGCTCGTCTATAGTGCATTAAGGATTAGCCCCCATACAAGCTCATCTATAGTGACACCCTAATTTCTTTCAAAGCATCCAGTAAATATGTCAACAAGATTAGTGCCAGTCCAACAGGATAAACAGGATTTAGTATTCCCCTCTGTCTAGCCATCCATTTAGCTTAGGACACAACCAATCGTGTATCATCCAATCACATTCCATTTTATTGTTTAAATTTTTGTTAAATACATACTGTAGGCAGGTTTTAGGCAGAGAAGGGGTTTGACTCTCTTACCAAGCAGACCTCTCTCCCACAGCCCAGAGTGTGTACCGACTCTCTGTGGCACCCTAAGTTATATTCTAAGATATTGTAAATTGTTAATTGTTCTTGAAAATAAAATTGTGATTAGTCTCCTGTGACTCTGGCTCTTTGCTGACTAATTCCCCAAGAAAACCAGCACGTCATTTTGAAGGTATTGTTCACCCAGAACAGTTCCGTGATACTTTGATCAAATGATTACACCATTTTGAACAAACAATAATATTAAATCCCCTTTTCTGACTTTAAGACAAGTCTATTGACCTAATCGAACATGATGTATTTATGCTATGTTGGTCAAACAAACAAGAGTACTGTGATTATTCTTTGGATTTAAGTCCTGAAATAAAAAAGATCAGAGGTTAATGCAATTTGTCAATCCTTATCCTGCTTTAATGTTGAATTTCCCTGCATGGTGTTTTTTCATTCAACAATGTTGAGGTGAGGTGAAATTGGGTTTAACGTTGCGTCGAAGATTATTGCACTTATTTAGCGACGTGCATGCACATGTGTGTGTGTGTGTGTGTGTGTGTGTGTGTGTGTGTGTGTGTGTGTGTGTGGCTGCTTGTACTAGTCTGGACTGATGCCGATTTATAGTGCTAGGCCACTGAGATACCATGCCGCAGTTTAACATGAATACCCCACTCAGACACAGTATACTGACTCCAAGCCGACCAATCCTTGTTTTAGCCCCTTAAATGCCAAACGCCAGACAGGGTAACAACAAGTACCATCTTTTAACGTCTTTTAGCATGATGCGGCCAGGGATCGAACCTCGGACCTTCCGCTCTCCGGGCGGGTATGGTGCTGACAAACCTAGAAACATAATCGGGGCGAACCGGGATTCGAACCCACAATCATAGGTTTCTGGCGTGCCCAAGGGACGCAACTCTGCACAGCGAATCGCAGCGCCTTAGATGACTGGGCCACCTGTGCCCCTGTCAGCTATATGAAATAACCCGATACCTCAGTATTAGTCCGACCTTTGCTACCTGGGTACCCACACCCCTATTACCCGACCCTATCCCGGTACCTATTGTTGGTGACAACCGAGATAGGTCCAAATAGTTTGACAGTAGCCCTGGCAAAATGTATTTTGATACAATATAAAACAATGTGGTCATGCATACACTGCAGCTGACTGAAGCTTAAGCTTTGTTCAAACATATATAAGTCAGAAGGAAGTCATGAAGAAATGTGAACATTAGAGACTTAAACTTGTTGGGTAACCATGTAGTTATATTGTGATTTTTTGTCATGAAACAATATATATCGTGACTAACCACGGGTCCGGGTAGTCCTGTGGGTACCTTGGTCCTCCTCAGTACCCACCTGACCCGAGTTTCCCGTCCCTACCCTACTCAGTATCCCCATACTAGTATATGTTAGGAAGTATACCTGCGGCAACAGGATAACATAACCAACGACTGTTCAATCCCAACTCCACAGCAATTCAATGTAGCTAGGACAAACCAAAAGAGCTGGAAGTGTTGACAAACACTTTACTTATGCCTGACCTATTGTAATGATCACATATTTAACATAAACAAACCCTTATGGAAAACCAATAGACTTATGTTGAACAGGATGAAAACCTCTCTTTCCAGGTAGGTGTTAGGGAAGGGATGAGCAGCTATCACTACTCCACTGTCTAACAACTGGGGTATCTGAAAAATGGGGCATACCAGTTGAAATTTACTACCTGGGTACCCAACGCAACCAGGCTACCCGCTGTAGATCTCAAGAGTTGGGTTCAAAATATGCGATTGGGAATTGTTTTACTGGAGTCCTGGCAAACACGATCTAAATACTTATAACAGGATCTGGTCATGCATACACTGAAGTTGACTGAAGCTTGATCTATACTTAAGTCAGAAGGAATGCAGGCATAGTCAGACAGAAATGCAGTATTAGTGACTTTTAGTGTAAGCACAGAGTTATATTTTTATTGTCATTAAACAATATATCATGTGACTAACCACGGATCCGGGCAGACCAGTGGGTGCCTGGATTCTACTCAAGACGTACCTAGTAGGTGTGTTCAGGTTGTTTTACATAGCTTTTACTAACAAGTGCGTGTAAAAGTGAACATGTTGTATCCATGTTTTGTTTGTTTCTTTGTTGTTTCACGCAGTACACAGCAATATTCCAGCTATATGATGGCGGTCTATAAATAATCGAGTCTGGACCAGACAATCCAATGATAGCTATCATGAGGATGGATCTACACAATTGGGATATGATGACATGCATCAACCAAGTCAGCAAGCCTGACCACCCGATCCCGTTAGTCGCTTCTTACGACAAGCATAGTCACCTTTTACAGCAGGCATGGGTTGCTGAAGACGTATTCTACCCCAGATCTCCACGGGTCTGTTGTATCCATGTGGATATGAGGAAACAATTACTTTCGTGTAATGAGTAACATAAACGAAATGCATCATGTGGCTCTCTCTGGCACTAAACCAACATTTTGTTACAGCTGTTTAGATGCTACCGAAAATTATGTATTAACAAAGTAAAATCCATGACTTTTAATATAAGCAAAAAAGATACTCAGAATACAGGGATAGAAAACAAAAATTCAAGTGGCATTCATAACAATGCTCTTTTGAAATAAAGTGTGCCAACATCAAGAAACGCTTTTGATGCATCTTGTAGCTAGCTTAGTAGCTGTAACTCAAGAGACATTTGCTGCTTTCCTTATTTCCATTGATTATCCTTTTCAACTTCTGAATCCACATTTTGTGAATAAAATTTTTCTTTGAATTTGTCCAATATAGGTTTTTAAAGGTACTGTTAACATGGATTTCATATAATAAACAATGCCACGAGCTATTTTTGTTAAGAAATATGATTTCGAAGTGTGCCCTTCAGTATCGGGAACTTATTCTAATTGTTGGAACTCCAACATAGGGAATATCAAACCCTGGACAAGTAATATTAGTTTGTTGACTTCAAAGTTTCTTTTATGGTCTACATTGAACTCAGATGAGGATACTTAGTACCTAACATGCCCAATGGATGTATTTTTGTAGCTACGTGGACACATGGATGTCAAGTGCATTGTACATGTTGTATTCACTGTAGCTGTCTCATAATTCTCAGCAAACATATCTTGAATGATCATAAATGCCCCATAACCTCTCCGCTATAAATGTTTGTTAAGGAATGCCAGGTCTTACGGTGTTATGAGAATCTGCGGTTGTTTAAAACTGAACCATAATCTCATCTCAAAGTGGTATAGTTGCTAGTGGTGTGTCTACTGGTGGTGCAGGTGGCCCATTGGTGCAGGTACCAGCAATTTGGATTCATTACTTGTGGGTTTGAATCCAGGATGTGTCCTTGTCAAGCCATATTTTGTCAAACAATGATATTCAGCTTCATCACATACTTAACCTGACCATTGTTACAGAACAGTGACACTCACTCATAATAATTTCAACAGTATTACCATATTTTTTCCCCTTAGTTATCCAAGTTATGACTATTTCTTTAACAGTGAAATGACACGATATATAATACTGCTGTGACCTCCCCAAAATAGTGCATGTAAATTGTGATCCTATGAACATTTTCTTATTCCTTTTCTTTCTTCTTGGCCAGTGCAGCATACTGCCAAATATAATATAATCTTGTATAATCTGAATATTAATTTGATTTTTTTCAATATATTTGACTCATTCAATTTTTCAAAAATATGCTAAAAATCATATTCAGTTCCCATTTTGTTGTCCATGGAAATACCAAAATACCATGACAACCACATTGACCACAGAGATTTACTCTAACAACCACCACAACAATGTAACCACAGACATATTAATGAATATGTTTTATCAGTTCAGATTGCTGCAACTGGATTTCAAGTTTCCATCAATTACAATCAACATCAATGGCAACGAGACCATAAATGTGCCTTGGACGGGAATAGAACTCGGACATCCACGCTTGAGCAAACACACACACCAGGGGGCTCCAGGGAGCTTAACACCGTCAAATTAGCTACACGACTGTTAAAAGATTCCATACTCGCTTCTATGGTAAGAAACTGTTAATGGCATCAAATAATTATAAAATTGTTATTTAATAACATAATGAAATATTAACAGCGTTGTCGTTTTAATTTCACTTGTAATAATCGTTTAGGCTCGCTGGAACACACAAAAAACTAGTCAACTATTTAATACAAAAAATACAACCTCGTAAAATGTAAAAAGAATGTGAAAGATAGAAAAGAATTACATGTGCCTATAAACGATAGATTCAACAGTTAAGAAGCGTCTCGCATTTAAAAAACGTGGGGTTACAAACTGCACGGATAAAACGCACATTGATTGAAAGCCCGCGACAGGCTGACGGGTACCAGAGCAACTCACCTTCAACAAAATGGTAGTGTGTCCGGCACACTAACAACACAAATAAAATCCTCCAAAGTCGCATCAATACGTCTCCACGAGGCGAGTCCAGCTTGCCTGTAGAAATATACATGTATAGTGCCCACGAAAATTGTGAAGGTCCAGCCTTCAACTGGCAACGCTGAAAAATAACACTTGTCTTGTTTCCGCGAAATCGAAAGAATCCTTTATGAATGACGGCACACTACTTCTACGAAAATGGATCCTCGTTACGAAATATATTATCACATAGTTATTTCTTCCCGTCCGTCATGTTGTCGCCTTGTATCTACATTGAATATCCCCGCCTTGCATGTGACACGCCGTCTGCGATAACACGAGTCACGTGACCAAAATAATGAATATTTAGTGGCTGGTAAGGGGAATTAAGTTCGTTGCTTAGCTACGTGTATACAATAAGAGTGCTGTGTACCAGTTTGGGTCGGTGAATAACTTGTATACAGCTCAGCGCGGACGTAACTTGACGCCGAGGGGTGTGCGCGTGGCTTTATGCTGTTGTCTGATAGAGATTTCGATAGTCTGACAATACAATTTCACAACAATAGGCCAATCTACGACACACAAATTTAGCAACACATTCAACTTAGCAGTTGGTCCGTTTCCTTCCTGGAAGTTGGCTTGTATAAGTATTGATATCTTATGTGTATGTATATGATTTGGTGTTACATAACCCACCCTAGTCTATAATGGAAGTTAACTGTGGTTCAGTTCACGTTTGTTTGCAGCCTAGGTTATATTTTAAAAATCCGATAAATATCAATTTTCAAAATGATGTACAATACTCTTATATTTATATCAAATTACCCATTTAAATTTCATATTTCTAGTATTGACATACTGCTCAATATCAAACTTATTCTTTTACAAACAGTTATCACTATTATATTATTACATAACAAACGGTAGTCCATGCGTGAGAGCTAATCCAACTCAAATATTTGGGTGCAGTTAGATTCAGTCGGCGAGCAAACTGCGTCTCCTTTCAAACATAGACTTGTATACTGTATGGTTTTAAGTAACAGGGATATTTCACCGTGATTGTGCATATTCGGCGCGACAAATCAGTATCTGAGTCGTGGATATGTCATGCGTGACATGTCTGTTGTTTATATCTGTCATTGAATATCCCCTACTGTAGTGGTATTCCTCTGTCGTGTTGACATATGATCGACACAAGGAGTGTTTGTCTTTCCTAACAACAACTAAACCTGTGTAACTAATGACTGGGAGTAGGCTGTACTGTGTGTGTTATGGCCGTGTTGTATATATACGTATATACGTGACAAAAATACGATTCAGAAACAAAATAGGTCACACAATATTTATTTGTACTTCCTCACGCTTTTTTAAATTGTTTTCTGATCATGAACAGATTATTACACCTCCTACCTAAATATATAAAAAACACCTTTCCAAAAAGCGACTGACGTCTCTTAGGACTCAGGAGGAGAAAAAAGATATTAACGCCAGTAATACAAAACCTTTGTTCATGACATTATAACGTATGGGAAGAGAATATACAGAAATGTTTCTGCCCTTAAAAGCAGTAATTTTTTTAATTTTTTTAAATTTTGACCTAACTTGCTACCTTTATCCTAACTTTTAGAAAAAGACCCGAAGAATAGATATTGAATTGATGTTCCCCGGAACTGTTTCGTTATACAAGGTGCCTCCGAGTTAACGTGCAATGTAAGCCGATTGTATAACATCAAAGCATAACATATTATTAACGCTGTGCCTGTATGTGACACTTTATGAAACCTACGTGGTTTATTGACTTAGACACCTGGGTGCCGTTGTACAAAGCCATCTTAGCGCTAAGGTGATCGTAACTCCCATACCTTAACACAGACTTACGACAGTCGTAGTGATAAGGTTGTTTTGTACAACGGCACCCAGCATAACAGCGCAGTGATTAAGTTCGGGTTTACGTTGCTTGGGAATCGAACCCAAGTATTGGGCGTGACCGGCAAAGGCTATCTCATGACCCACCAGGACAGAAAGACCATCTATCTGCATCTTGGTCAATGTGTTATTCCCTACACCCCTATTTTACATCCTCGATTATCCAGTGTACTATATCTCCACTCTGTTATGACATAAGACCGCCTCCGTGGTCTAGTGGTAGAGCGTCCGCCCGGAAAGCGGAAGGACCGGGGTTCGATCCCCGACCGCGTCATACCAAAAGACGTTAAAAGATGGTACTTGTTGTTACCCTGTCTGGCGCTCGGCATTAAGGGGCTAAAACAAGGACTGGTCGGCTCGGAGTCAGTATACTGTGTCTGAGTGGGGTATTCATGTTAAACTGCGGCATGGTATCTCAGAAATACAGAAACCAAAATCGATCATGTAATGACATATTTTGTTACTGTTCAATGGCAATCGTTATCTGACTGCCCTTTCAACTGCTTCCTCTTCTTCAACGCATCATATGACATCACCCCGTCCTGACCGCCACCGTGGTCTAGTGGTAGAGCGTCCGCCCGGAAAGCGGAAGGACCGGGGTTCGATCCCCGACCGCGTCATACCAAAAGACGTTAAAAGATGGTACTTGTTGTTACCCTGTCTGGCGCTCGGCATTAAGGGGCTAAAACAAGAACTGGTCGGCTCGGAGTCAGTACACTGTGTCTGAGTGGGGTATTCATGTTAAACTGCGGCATGGTATCTCAGTGAGCTAGCACTATAAATCGGCATCAGCCCGGACTAGAACAAGCAGCCACACAAACACACGTGCATGCACGTCGCTATATAAGTGCAATAATCTTGGACGCGACGTTAAGCCCCATTTCACCTTACCTGTTATGACATACATTTACTAGTATTCCCTAGACTCGTTCGCTATCAAATTCGTTTCAACCCGATTCGTTTGGAACGACGCTTAAACAGCCATCAATTAATATTCCTCTCATGAGCGAGAGACATTCTGTGCCAGGTAAGGTAAACGAGTGACAAAGATGGTGACGTCGTACACGTGACTTCCGGAACGTAGCGAATGGGTACATAATGTGATGGAATGAAGACTTGAATAACCTGGAACACCGAAGATGTTATCTTCAGTGTAGTGTCCTATATTAGCTGACCATCCATTGCTGACATCATGTTATATACATGGGAACTTGATAACATAGAGGCTATATTCTATTTTATCATTGTTTGACTACCTATCAATCCCATATTAAGTTTGAGGTACTTCTGCATAAACCACGTGCGACTTATGTGTCAATCCGACCAGTGAAGATTCGGGTAAGAATAGGCCTTCAGCAACCAATGCTTGCCATAAAAGGCGACTATGCTTGTCGTAAGAGGCGACTAAGGGGATCGGGTGGTCAGGCTCGCTGACTTGGTGGATGCATGTCATTGATCCCAATTATGTGGATCGATGCTCATGATGTCAATAACTAGATTGTCTGGTCCAGACTCGATTATTTACAGACCGCCGTCATATAGCTGGAATATTGCCGAGTGCGGAGTTAAACAACAAACAAAATATTAGCCAATCCAACCAAAGTATGGACTAAACATATTTAAAACAAGTTGTTTGTTTATACCTTATTATTGAATAGTGTTGCACTTTATTACTTTATTCTTTTAGCACGCGGGCGATGAACAGATGCATATGAATGACCGTTGTGAGGTCACTGCGAGTTTCCGATGACGTGGATCGATGCTCATGGTGTCAAGCACTGGGTTGTCTGGTCCAGACTCGATTATTTACAGACCGCCGTCATATAGCTGGAATATTGCTGAGTGCGGCGTTAAACAACAATCAAAAGAACAAAACAAAACTACGAGTTAATACAGAGGTGTTACATCCTAAATGCGAGTTGTTGGTTGGTTGTTGGTTAACGCCGCACTCCAGCAATATTCCTTAGGAGCTGTATATAGGAAGCTGTATGTAGGAAGCTGTATATAAGGAGCTGCACACAGGGAGCATTATGTAGACAGCTGTTTTTTAGGAGCTGTATCTAGGGAGCTGTATACGAGTAGCTGTATATATATGAAGCTGTATATAGAGAGCTGTGTATAGGGGGCTGTATATTCAAATCATGTTGCAAGAGGAAAATGCGTTCGATACATACAAAGTATTGGTGCAGTATCTTAAGATGTGTTATAAAATGACGTTTCAAGTAGCAGAAAATGGTAAAATTAATTGGCCTTCAAAAGTAAAAAAGATATTCTCTATTCTGCGGGAGTTGGGTATATATGGGAGCAACAATTTGTACATAATATAGCAGATTTTATCTAAGAATTCGTATTTCGCGTGATGGCAATACACGAGCAAAACTGGCATGGTGCGTTCCTTCGGTGCACCAGAACAAGTAGTTATACCCTTTATAAACTATCCTTTTGTTTGGAATTGTACCATAAAGCTATAACTGTTTCACACAAACCTGTGACTGATGTCATGAGCACCGACCCATGCAATTTGGATATGATTACATGCAATCAACCAAGTCATCAAGACTGACATCTGGTCCATTTAGCCGCCTCTTTCGACAAGCATAGGTTGCTGGGACCTATCTTCGCATCCGGAATTCCCATGCCGAGACCCCACACCCAGGTCATAAATATTAGAGACAAAATATTAAATGTGCCAATAGTTGTATACATAACTCAGCAGACAATAAAAATCGTGACGGTGATTTTATTGACCCGATATTTTACAGCTATACATATCTTAGCAGTGTCACGGGTCATGTTTGGGATACACACGGGAACATGTTCTCGAACCCCACAAAATATTGCTGAAACATTTGCTTCTTAGACATATTTGAATCTATGCATGCACGTCAAAATCACTTAACTGATGTATCATTTAATACAAAGTGTGCCATGTGATATGTATCTGTTTATGTATCACCTAATGCTGTACGGCTCGTATGCAGATGAGGTGCTGTACAAGAGGAGCTGTATATGAGGTGTTGTATATGAGGTGCTGTATATGAGGTGCTGTATATGAGGTGCTGTATATGAGGCGCTGTATATGAGCTGCTGTATATGAGGAGCTGTATATGAGGAGCTGTATATGAGGAGCTGTATATGAGGTGCTGTATATGTGGAGCTGTATATGAGGTGCTGTATAAGAGGAGCTGTGTATGTGGAGCTGTATATGAGGAGCTGTATATGTGGAGCTGTATATGAGGAGCTGTATATGAGGAGCTGTATATGAGGAGCTATATATGAGATGCTATATATGAGGTGCTGTATATGAGGAGCTGTATATGAGATGCTATATATGAGGTGCTGTATATGTGGTGCTGTATATGAGGTGCTGTGT